ATACTTTCTAGCTTTAAATCTGGGTTCTACTACTAACTTATGGTTATGTGGGCAAGTTATGTAACTATTTCCTAATCTATAAAAGGAGTAAATGATAGTGCCTACTTTACACAGTGTTCTGCAGATTAAGTTATAATGTATGTAAAGTGCTTACTCAGGGATTGGTCCATAGTAAATTTTCAAATGCTATTATTATTTATTTATCTTAGCGGTTCTAAAATTAGAGTACTGTAATATAGGTATCAGAGTATTTATTATCCTTAAACTAGGGAGTTTTAAAAGTTAGCAGTTCTGAGCTATCATATAAGTCACTTTTGAGATCTTTCTCTTTTTCATGGCAGAGATTTCAGTCACATTACTAACCTGGCTCCAAGTACCACTAGGGAAAGCTGCATAACTGCAATTGGAACCTGTTTAACAGTATTATCTTTATTCTAACTTAAAATAGTTGATGCCATCCTTCTCTATTCCAGTCATGAGGCTCCAGAACTCAGAGCTAGGAGATAACATAGACACTGAAGGTAAAATTAAAGTTAAGTTTTTAAATAAAATTTTTATCGTAGGAATGAAACATGCTCAAATATATTATTAGATTTGTTAAAGACATTTGTGAACACTGTACTACTTGATCAGAGTATTAAATCCTGCTAGATATAAGTACCATGAGGTCAAGGGTTTTGATATGCTTTGTTCACTGATTCCTCCCCCTGCCCACACACACACAGTTAAAACTATGCCTAGAGCATAGTAGGCACTATTTGAATGAGTGATTACTGAAATTGTTACTTAATTCAACATATAGTATTGGTGGAAATTATTAAATTTATTTTAATAGCTCCTAGCGTACAATTTTTGCACAAAAATAAGTACACTTATTAATAAGTATTTCTTGAAAGAATTAATTTATATGAGTTACAGTATTTATTTTTAGCTAAGGAATGCTGTAGAATGGTACTTGCCTGTGAAGGTACTAATGAAGATGAACTTACTTTTAAAGAGGGAGAGATGATCCATTTGATATGTAAGGTATTTTTCATTTTTCCACTGAATCATGCAACTTATTCATAGAAATATTTCTCAGTATTCTTATGTTTCCCCTAGAATGTAGCTCTAGAAGACTTTGTCTCATTTATTTCTGTGCCCAGAAAACCTGGCACATAGTAAGTGCTCAGAACGTTTTTTGGTTTGTTTTTTTAGGAAACTTTTATTGTCTATCTTTGTTATAATTGATATATTAGGAATTATTTTTACAATCATGTTGTGTTTTTCTCTAACCTTATCCCCTCCAGGTTTCTGTCATCACTTCATTTTACACCTCATTCCATTTTTTCCAACTTAATATTTGTTGTATTGTTTATAATATAAAAAGACAAATAAAAATAAACAACTTAAATGTCCCTCAACATTTAAATGGTTAGGAAACTTTATACTGTGGGAAATGGTGCAGCTATTTAAAAGAATGAGGTAGTTTTATAACTTGGAATGAATTAGGGCAAAAGAAAAGGAAAAGCTAGGAGTATTGGGGTGAGGGCAGAATCCTATAATTACTATTTGAAATAGAGTAGAATTATAAATATTTTGTTTTTGCTGTAATCCTATCAAATGGCTTTTCAAGTTACTTCCCATTGTTTAAAATTGATGACCAGATGGGTCAGCATATGTAATTTTTAATATTCATACAGTTTGGACTAATTTCTCATGGAAGGTGGCATTTGGGAGGCACTGAAAAAGCTCCTGTTAATTTCTAAAGCAAGTGAATGATGGGCTAAGATCCAAGACGGCAGAAGAGTAGATGGGAGCTACACTCATCTTATCTCAGGACCAAACTGGAATTACAACTAAATTATAGAACAATCATTGTGAATAACCAACTCAGGACTAGCTGAAGAGAAGTCTTATAACCAAGGACTTACCAAAGGAGCCACATAGAGACTAGTAGGAAGAGTGGAGACTTGAAAAGGGCTGACTCCACTCTCACAGGCAACTGCTGAGGTTCCAGAGGGATATCTCAGCTGCTAAGGACTCCCCTGAGAAGAGTGACATCTAAACCCCAAGGCAGGTTCCCCAGTCCAGAGCACAAGAGCTGGGAAGAGGTACCCACATGTCATCTGGCTTTGAAAAGCAGCTGGGTTTCTGTGAGCCAGAGAGAGACTACCAGAGACACAGGCACCCTCTTAAAAGGCCAATGAACAAAGTTTGGTTTGCAGCCACTTGCCCTGGGCTCCTCGGAGGGAGGAGGAGCAGAGTCTGGGGTTTGTGGCTGTAGAGAAAGAGCTGACCTAGGGTCAGCTACCAGGATCCTTGTGCTGAGTCATTATCCAATACCACAGTCACCATCTTTCTTAGGTGGAGCACTCATCTCTGTGTGGCATCAGCCTGGGGGAAAGCAATAGCCCCATGCTCTGGACTCTCCGTCTCACCTCACCCTGTGGAGCTTATGCCTAGCTGAGGAGTACAGCCAGACGCTCTTTCAGTGACTGAGCCTAACAGGCAGCTGGCAGGTGGAGGCAGATCTTGGGATGCTTTGGGACTTTTGCTGACCTGCCCCTGGGCCTGGTGCTGGTAGAAGCTGGCCTTGGTGAGCAGCTTGGTCTTTCCTGAGTGCATCCACGCCCAGCAGAGGCAGCCACAAACTATGGATCACTGGTAGCTCCAAACAGGTTGACCAGGGCAAGTCACAGGCAGTGTCTGAGTCATGGCAGATCTATCTAATAAAAATAAACAAACACAAATACGCAGACAAAATGGGGAGACAAAGAAACAGGCCCCAAATGAAAGAACAGGAGAATTCTCCAGAAAAAGAGCTAACTGAAATGAAGGCAAACAATCTATCACATATTGAGTTCAAAGTAATAAGGATGATCAACAAAATGAAAAGGGACAAAGAAACTATAAAAAAGGACCAGTCAGAAATGAAGAATAAAATATTGGAAATGAAAAATACACTGCAATAAATAATAGGTTGGATGAAGCAGAGGATAAATCAGTGATTTGGAAGACGAGGTAAAAAATAAAAGACACCCAATCAGAGCTGCTAAAAGAAAAAAAGAATTTAAAAAAATAAGGATAGTTTAAGGGACCTTTGACACAACATAAAGTGTAACAACATCTGCATCTTTGGGGTGCCAGAAGGAGAAGAGAGGGAGCAAGGGATTGAAAACCTATTTGAAGAAATAATGACAAAAAACTTCTCTAACCTGGTGAAAGAAAAAGACACACATGCCCAGGAAGTGCAAAGTGTCTCAAACAGGATGGATCCAAAGAGACACATCATAAGTAAAATAGCAAAGATTGAAGACAGAGAGAATCTTAAAAGCTGCAAGAGAAAGTGAGTTATCTACAAGGGAGAGCCCATAAGACTGTCAGCTGATTTCTCAACGGAAGCATTTCAGGCCAGAAAAGATGGCCATAAGGTATTCAAAGTGGTGAAAAGCAAGAATTTACAACCAAGGCTCCTTTACCCAGTGAGGCTATCACTGAAAATTGAAGGTGAAATAAAGAGCATCCCAGACAACAACAAGCTAAAGGAATTGGTTGCTATCAAACCAGAATTACAAGAAAAATTAAAAGGCATGCTTGAAGAAGAAAGAGAAGGAGAAGGAGAAGCACGAGGAGGAGGAGAAGGAGGAGGAGGAGAAGGAAGAGGAGAAGAAGAAGGAGAAGGAGAAGGAGGATGAGGACGACGAGGCAGGAAGACCACAAGGAGAAGGAGGACGAGAAAGAGGAGAAGCAGGAAGAAGACAAGGAGATGCATGAAGAAAAGGAGAAGGAGGAGGACAAGGATGAGGAGAAGTAGGAGGAGGATGAGGAGAAGGAGGAGGATGACGAGGAGAAGGAGGAGGAGGATGTGGAGAAGAAGGTGGAGGACGAGAACGATGACAAGGAAGAGGAGGATGAGGAGAAGTTGGAGGAGGACAAGGAGAAGCAGGAGGAGGACGAGGAGAAGCAGCTGGAGGAGGACGAGGAGAGGCAGGAGGAAGACGAGCAGAAGAGGAGGAGGACAAGGAGATGGAGGAGATGGACGAGGGGAAGGAGGAGGAAGACGATGAGAAGCAGGAAGAGGACGAGGTCAAGGAGGATGAGGAGAAACAGGGAGGACGAGGAGAAGCAGGAGAGGGGGAGAAGCAGGAGGACATCGACGAAAAGGAGGAGGATTAGGAGAAGTAGGAAGAGGAGGAGAAAGACGAGGAGGAGGAGAAGCAGGAGGAGGAGGACAAGGAGAAAGAGAGGAGGACGAGGACGAGGAGAAGCAGGATGAAAATGGGGAGAAGGAGGAGGAGGAAAAGCAGGAGAAGGAGGAGGAGAAGGAGTTCGAGAAGCAGGAGGAGGATGAGAAGCAGCAGGAGGAAGAATAGAATCAGGAGGAGGAGGAGAAGGAGGACAAGGACGAAGAGAAGTAGGAGGCGGACAAGGAGAAGCAGTAGTAGGAAGAGAAACAGGAGGAGAAAGAGGAGAAAGAGGATGAGGAAGAGGAGAAGCAGGATGAAAATGGGGAGAAGGAGGAGGAGGAAAAGCAGGAGAAGGAGGAGGAGAAGGAGTTCGAGAAGCAGGAGGAGGATGAGAAGCAGCAGGAGGAAGAATAGAATCAGGAGGAGGAGGAGAAGGAGGAGGAGGAGAAGAGGGAAGGAGGGGAAGAAGGAGAGGTGGACGAAGAGAAGCAGGAGGAGAAAGAGAAGCAGGAGGAGGTCGAGGAGAAGGAGGTTGACGAGTAGGGCGAGAAGGAGGAGGACGAGGACAAGGAGGACAAGGACGAGGAGAAGGAGGACAAGGACGAGGAGGAAGAGAAGGGGGAGAAGGAGGACAAGGAGAAGCAGGAGTAGGAGGAGAAGCAGGAGGAGGTTGAGGAGAAGGAGGAGGATGAGGAGGAGAAGGAGGAAAAGGAGTAGGAGACGCAACCTGAGAAGAAGGCGGATGAGTAAGAGAAGAAGCAGGAGTAGGAGGAGAAGCAGGAGAAGTAGCAGGAGACGGAGGACGAGGACAAGGAAGAGGAGGACAAGGAGATGCAGGAGGAGGAGGAGGAGGACGAAGAGGAGGAGAAGCCGAAAGAGGAGGTGGAGAAGGAGGACGAGGACGAGGAGAAGCAGGAGGATGAGGAGGAGCACAAGGACAAGGAGAAGCAGGAAGAGGATGAAGAGAAGCAGGAGGAGGAGGAGAAGGAGGATGAGGACAAAAAGAAGGAGGAGGACAAGGAGATGCAGGAGGAGGAAGAGGAGGACAAAGAGAAGCAGAAAGAGGAGGAGGAGAAGGAGTCGAGGAGGAGGAGAAGCCAGAGGAGAAGCAGGTGGAGGTCAAGGAGAAGGAGGAGGATGAGAAGGAGGAGAAGGAGTAGGAGGACTAGGAGAAGCAGGAGGGGAAGGAGGAGGAAGAGGAGGTGGAGGAGGAGAAGCAGGAGTAGGATGAGGAGAAGACAAGGACGAGGAGAGGCAGTATGAGGAGGAGGAGAGGCAGTACAAGGAGGGAGAGAAGCAGGAGGAGGAGGAGGAGAAGCAGGAGAAGGACGAGGAAAAGCAGGAGGAGGACGAGGAGAGGCCAGACGAGGAGGGAGAGAAGCAGGAGGAGGAGGACGAGGAGAGGCCAGACGAGGAGGGAGAGAAGCAGGAGGAGGA